GGAAAGAAGCAGCCCTTTTCCTCCTTAGGCCACCCTTCACCTTGCAGTCTCCAAAACCTCGGTCTTCTCCTGCATGCCAGTGTTGGGGAAGAGACATCCTGCACCATCCTCCACTCCATCCCATAGCACATGGTCCTGGGAAGAGAGCAGGGACACCTCCAGCTCCCCATGCTCGTATTTAATGAGGAGTTTTCCCATGCCCTGTTTGGGGTCTGTCCATCCTGGGGGAGCTTGCATGCTCCTTGGAGACCCAGTGCCCTGCGTGCATCCTTCTCCTCAGCTCTCCTTCCCACAGCCACCGGGCCTTAGAGGTAGAAAATGCCAACAGCCCCTTCCCAAGCTGGTGTATGCCTGTGATGTGCTCCTCAGCCTTTTGGGAATCTCTTCCTGCATGGCCCCTGCAGCTACACGCACACACTCAGTGGCTGTAAGAGGGGGACTGGAACAAGTGGTGTGAAGGTACAGAGCTATGGAAGGAGTAAAGCATGCAGGTGGGGACGGAGGGCCAAGACACATGGAAGGAGGCTGGTAGCTTGGCTCCTCATGGAGCGGTGCTGGCTCCCATACGCACGCAGTTCACACGTATTTATGCAGAGGCTGGGAGTACTGCACAGTCCAGCGTCCACCCAGCGCCCACGGGCATGTTTCAGGCCTCCCGACGCTGCTCCGCAGAGGCTTCAGGAAATAGGAGGTGATACTGGGACGGGAGTCGAGCAACCCTCTGTGGATCTGGCAGAGGTTTCACCCCATGTTGTGGCAGGGGAGGAGAGCTGGTCCTCAGTGGAGTGTGCGTCTTGCACGATGGGGTGACCATAAGAGCTGAGCTGTCTGTGACAGTGTCACTGCTGGGGACACTGCACGGGAAAGGGCAGATAGCCACCACCTCTGCTTCTGCCTGCCCTGCCTGCTGCAAGGGAGGGAGCTGGGAACACCAGGCTTTGTGCAAAGTAAAAAAAGGGGAGGGGAAAGGGGGACTTGGACATTTTTATTGCAAGCAGGGAGTGACACATGGAGCAGAGTTAATCAAGGTGACTGCCCTCCAGTGCTTTATAAATAGGAGCTGTCTTAGAGTGATGTCTGATATTTTCAGCTGTGTAAAAATAAATGGCACTTGCTGGAGACCTGGACGTTTACTTTGTTTTAGTGGAGCAGGTCTGCCTTAAACTGCCTCTAGTTTTATCTGTGGGTTTGTTGTTTTAAGATTTCTGGCTTCTAGCTCAAATACCTTTAATGCAAAGTAGCTCGCCTCTGCCCAGAGTCTGCGCCGCAGAAGCAGGGGACCTGGTGGGGACCCTGCTGCCCCGTTTGCTGAGGGGGATCAGCGATGGTGCAAGTGATCCTGCCCTACCCAGCTCTGCGTGGGGTGCCCTGCCTCCACCCTGCCTGCTGCCTGCAACCTGCCCTGTTGCCTGCACCCCTCTCCCCTAGGAACCTCCTAGCTCTTCCACAAGCAGGTCTCTCCCTCAGGGGGCTCTCAGCCCCCCATTGCCCCATGGTCCTCCCACCCCAGGCAGCCTCTGAGCCGCTTCTTCCCCCATTTCCCCACCTCCCTCCCTGCTGCTGGCAGCAGGTGCCAGGCTGCGGGAACAGGGGGACATTGTTCGGGGCCGCCGTGCTCAGGTGCTGGGCTTGCCCCCCTCTCCCCATACTCCTCCCTGCTGGGGTCCTGTTCTCGGGTGCGTCTGAGCCTTTTGCTGATATTGCCATCCTCCACATCGTTCTTCCCACCTTTCTCCTGCCTTTCCAATCCTCTGGAGCCTTTGAGGTCTGGCTTTGATCTCTCTGCCGGAGCAGCCAACTGGCTGGGCAGTGAAACGTCCTGGGTCCACTTCTCATAATTTTTATTATTATTATCTTAAAATATTTTCCACTTAGTGGAAAAAAAAAAGTCCTTGTTCCCCGTTAGCAGAATTAACAAAACTTGTGGAGCGCAAAACAGGGCTTTAGCGGAATTCAAAGTCAGCAGTAAAAGATTTGCAGCCATAACACCTAATTAAGTTACATCTCTCTTAAAACAAAATATTCCTTCTTTTTTTGAAGATGAGGAGAAGTAAACCAGATGTGCAAACTTGCTGCCTCTCAGACATGCTCTCCCCACGGAGTCAGGGGATGCCCACGCTGGGCTCACCAGTTGCCACCCGCCTCCTCCCGCATCTGTGCAGCATCGCCCGGTGCTTGCCCCGCTCTGTCCATCCCTCCCGCGTGCTGGCTCCCTGCCGGCAGCAGCGAAGGTGTTGCCCATGCTGGGGTGCTGCTGTCTGCACCGTGCGCCGGTGCCAGACCAGCACCAGCAGGCAGCGGATTCAGTGGGCAGCAGGAGGGGTGAGCAGGAGGGCGGCTGCAGGCAGAGGCTGAACTTGATCTGCTTCCCACTACCCTGCAGCATGTGTGGAAGTTTATAAGGGGTGGAAGGTGGGGGATGCTCTGGGAGCTGCCAGGGAAGAGGTGCTCCTGAAGTGGCTTCTCCAATGGCCATCTAGCTTCTCCTGATGGTTTTGTGGGGTGGACAGAGCGTGTCCTGCCCAGCCAGGCTGGCAGGGCAGGCAGAGCTGCTGCCAGGCTCCCTGGGACAGCGCGTGCCTGCCCCAGCCAGGCTGGCAGGGCAGGCAGAGCTGCGGCCAGGCTCCCTGGGGCCTGCCTGTGGGAAGAGCCACCATGTGGCACGCAGCATCCCGGTGGGCGTGGGAGGATGGGGCCGTGGTCCATAGCCGTGTCCCAGTGAGGAGTGGGGGTCTGCGACCCCAAGCAGAGCCCTGCTGCGGGGGGACCCTGTGGGGACAGGATAGGGTGCCCAGGGAGAGATGATTTATGGAGGTGTGGGCAGGACCCAGCTGCCCCATGGGTGGACACCGAGCTGGGCACAGCCCTGGCACCCTCATCTGCCCACATCCCCAGCCACAGCACCCATGCCCGCCCCATGCCTGGTGGTGGAGACCACATGCTCAAAGGCAAGGAAGGGAAATGCTTTGAGTTACTTGATCTTTGTTTTCCTTCCCAAGTTGCTTAAACAAATTGAATAGGAATTGATTTTATATTTGAGGAATGTTCCTAATCACAAAGCCGAGGTTAAAAAAATTCCCTAGCTAATCCCAAATTGTTAATTCCCAACACTATTTTCTGGCTCTTTTGAATCACAGTTTTACGATGTTCATCATGAGCAGGAGACCAGGGTAGTTACTGGTTTTCTTTCTGTTTTTCTTCCTTTGCTTACTTCCCCATCGCCGAGTGAGGGAGGTGGCAGGTTGGCTGAGGCTTCCTTGCAACCCAGTACCACCACCCATCACCCCACCACTCGTGGGCTCAGCAGCGTGTGGCATCCACCCTGGCCATCCTCCTGCCAGACACCCTGATTTGTGCCAGCCTCCTCTGCCATGATACCCAGTGCCCACGGGCAGGCCCATGGCAGAGCTGTGACCAATGCCAGCTGCAGGATCGTTTCTGTGCCCATCGGCCACCTCCGTTTACCACCTGGCCCTGTATAGCATGGTACTGGCAAACTGCTGCAGTGGTGCTGGCAAACTGCTGTGGTGGCACGGCTCCCAGCTCCAGCAGTGGTGGCACCACAAACCCACACAGTTCTGAATCTTCACTGAAGGCTCACACGGGGCTGGGACCTAGGCTGGACCCTGCGGTGGATGTGGAGGGGCATGCCCTGCACCCATCCCCAAAAGGTGCCTGGTAGGCCCTCCATGCCAGAGCAGTTGCTTGGGCACAGGGACAGACTTCTCTGCTCTGCTTGGGAAGGAAAAGGGCACCCATCCTCCTGGGCGCTCCCCAAAATAAGGCAGGAGCTCTCTTTTGGAGTCTGCTTCAGGTATCAAGATGATGGGGCAGTGTCTGGAATGGGGCTGCAGCGTATCTCAGGGATGAAGCGGTGTCTGGGATGAGGCTGTAGCACATCCCAGACATGCAGTGATGTCCGGGATGGGGCTGTAGCACATACCAGGGATGCAGCGGTGTCCGGGATGGGGCTGTAGCACATCCTGGGGATGCAATGGTGTCTGGAATGGGGCTGGAGCACATGCCAGGGATGCAGAGGTGTCTGGGATGGGGCTGGAGCACACACCTGGCATGCTGTGGATGGGGGCACCTTTAGCACCACGGCAGAGCACTTGAGTGCCTCAGCAGCCACCCTGCACAGGGGGAACCTGTACCCCCTCTGCAGCTACCGCTGCTGTCCCAATGCAGTTCTGCCAGCCTGGGCAGAGGGGCAGCACGGGGGGGGGGCTGAGCTGAAAATCAGGGCTCACTGCCCTCTGCCAAGAATTACCTTCATGCTGTGCCGCTTCTATCGATGACAAATTTGGAACAGGCGGCACAAAGTCAGCAGTAAAAAGGAGCTGGGCAGAAAGGAGAGCAGCAGAGCCCGGGGTGAGTTCGCGCTCCTGGGCTTCTTTCTTCCCTATTTTCTCCTCCTCCCCTTGGCACAGGGCGCTATTATTCTCCCATCTTTCCCCAGACCCTCGCCTCCATCCCCAGTGATCACTGTGGCAACCCGCAAACAAAGACAACTTCAGGGACTGCTGGCTCTGTCCCGGGACATGGGGCCAAGCTGTAGAGAGAACCTGCAAGAGGGAGAGAAAAGAAGAAAGACGGGCTTAGTGAAAACATGCCATCTGGAAAGAGACAAATTGAGATGTTCAAAGGAAGATGGCAGGGAGAAAGAAAGGATGAGAACCGGGCTGCTTCAGGCAATTGTTGGGATCAAAGCCTTTGGGGAGAAGGAAAGAGGCATTGCCTGCCCTGCCTCTGCTTGAGATGCAAATCTGGGGTCTTTAGAAATGCACAGAAAAAAGCCTCCTTGAGGACGTATGTCTCTCGGAGGGCTGGGGGACAGCAGGGAGGGATGCTGCATGGGGTGGAGGACAGCCTGGTGGCCTCCCCAGACATGCTGGAGCAGTCTGAGGAGGGGATGCTCGCGCAGCAGGAGCAACCTGGCAGAGCAGAGCTGCTTCCCTCATCCACCTGCTCCCTTCCGCCTGAGCCCTCTTCCCCACTTTAGGGACAGTGGCGAGGCACAGGTCTCTGGAGGGGCTGCCCCGTGATGATGCTTCCCATCACCCTGGCTCCTGAGAGCTGAGTGGCGACTCAGGTGGTGGCCTGAGGATCACGACCCCGTTGGCCTAGGGTCAGACCTTCCATTGAGTCCCTTCCCGGTGGGGCCAGTGGTGGGGTTGGTGCTGAGCCTTCTCTTCCCCACATCACCCAGGTTTTCAGGGCCACAGCTGTTCTGGTTGACTCTCCTTGGCCATGGCCCCTGCCCTCTCTCCGTGGTGACCACCATCACCTCACCTGCATTTCTCACAGCGATCCCCCTCTGCATCCCAGAGGAGAGTCCCAGGCTCCCTCCACCACCCCTCTGCTGATTCATCCTGCAGGACACCATCACCATTAGCACAGGAGTGACACAGTCTGCTTGATGGGCTCAAAGACACTTGGTTTTTCTTCTCAGCTGATGTGGTGTCAGTGTTCGTGCTGGGACTTGAGCTGCCAGGGGGGCAACTGGACTCTCTGGACCCCCATCCGCAGCAGCAGCCCACTTCCTGGCTCAGGAGCTTTGTGGAGAGTGCTGGGAGGTGGAGTACCCACCACCTCTGCCAGGCTGGCTCTTGTTGCTGTCCCCTACACCTTGTTCCCCCTTCCCTTGCGGTGGGACAGGACCGAACGTGCTTCAGTTCCCTCGGTGCTCAACCCTCTGTTCTTCCTCCACAGACTGTGACTCCTACTGCAAGCCAGCCAAGGGCAACTACAAGATTAACATGAAGAAGTACTGCAAGAAAGACTATGGTAAGGACCTCCTCCCTCCCTGAGCCCCACTGCGCTTTGCTGCAGAGGCAGCCAAGGGCTGACCACAGGCTGGCTGTGGGTGGGAGAGAGACAGACGTCCCAGGGGATGGGAAGCACTCGGCAAGCCGAGGGGTCCCAAAATCATCCCTCCCACAGGTATGATGAGGCAGATAGGGCTGCTGGGGACAAGCAGTTCCCATCGCTAAAGCTTCCTTTGGGGAGCAGGGCAAGCATCCCCCATCACTGTGCCTCCCCGTCTTTTCCCTCAGTGGTCCAAGTGAACATCCTGGAAATGGAGACAGTGGCCAGTTGGGCCAAGTTCACCATCAACATCCTCTCTGTCTACAAGTGCCGCGACGAGCGGGTCAAGCGCGGCGACAACTTCTTGTGGATCCACCTGAAAGACCTGTCCTGCAAGTGCCCCAAGATCCAGATCAGCAAGAAGTACTTGGTCATGGGGATCAGCGAAAACTCCACCGACCGGCCAGGACTGATGGCCGACAAGAACAGCCTGGTCATCCAGTGGCGGGACGCCTGGACACGCCGCCTTCGGAAACTGCAGCGGCGGGAGAAGAAGGGAAAGTGTGTGAAGCCCTAAGCGGTTTCTATCCATCCCGTCCCATCCCATGCTCAGCCCCAGCCCGGCTGTGTGCTGCCAGGCTGCGCCCAGAGACTCTGTACATATATATAGTGTGAACGGACTCTTCTGTCTATAGTGTATATTTTGGCAATGATTTCCTTTTGTGTGTGCGTGCGCACGCGTGGGTGTGCGTGTGGGTCTTTTTAAGTGTGTATTAAAAATAACACAGTAATGACAAACCTTTAATGAGGAGCAAAGCAGAGCGAGATCCTGTGTGTGACTGTCACCTGAAGGAGCTTGAAGGGGGCTGGTGTCCTGCTCCAGGTATGCTGTTTTTAGTGCTCATTTTCTAGACTTTTCCCTTTAACAAAATCTTCTGCCTGGTGTTGACATCTGAGTTGACAGCTCTCCTTTCTCCAGTGTCTAGGGCTTGCCTCTTCCTCGCCCTCTGAAAATGTGGTGCTGTCAGACCTCCCTCTGCCCTGCTCCTTGCCCAGTAGGAACAGGAGGTCAGAGTCTTCTGTCCTTCATCCCGATGTGTATACGGGCAGGCTGAGTGGAAACCATCCAATGCTGCAGAGGGACCAGCCCCATGAGCTCCACCAGGAAGAGCAAATGAACTTTTGCAAGACCTGATTCTCTGGTGACCTCGGGTTTACATGGACCAGCGCTGCCGCCTGGGTCAGGACTCATGCAATGCTGCAGTGCCATGGGGAGGAGTAAGGCCCTGGCAGTGGGTTGGTGGCCGTTACCTGGCAGAGCTCTGTCCACCAGGGAGGAACGGACAGATTTCACAACCCCCTGGCCATTACCTATCTTGCTGCAAAGCCCAGGTGACCCAGCGGCAAAGACCTGGAGACCCCATTTTCCCCTCCCATGCCCACCAAGGCTATAGCCTACCCTGCTAGCAGGACCTGGGCTGGAGTGGACAGGCTGACCAGAGCCGTCATGTATCATTGTCCATCCACCTAGGTCTATGTCCCTATATTCTCAGTTAGTACCAACTGCCATAATTCCACCTGTGTCTGTTGAGCTGACACCAAGTGACCATCTGCCTTGGTGTACATCCTTCAGAGCTGGCCTGACTGTGCGCTCTCCTGGAAAGTATTGCTGTGGCCAAGGTTGTCTGAGGAGATGCACAAGGTAGAGGTGGCAGGAAGAGAGAAGAGCTTTCATTGACCCACCTCTAGTCTTTTATTTCTTCTTCACTGTGTATTAGTCTCCAGCTCAAACAGCCATCAGTATCTTCCCATGTTGAGGTTGTAGCAGTCTTGGCATAATAAATATGAGGAGAAAAAATAGGTGATCTCTACACCGCAGTCTTCCAGTGCTTTAGGATGATGCTTTGTCCTTTTGAGCCCATGGCACCTTGCATGGACTCCCCAACCTGTGGGTAGTCTGGTGCTTCTGGGCTCCAGCATCCCAGGGTCGTTCTGGAGCCTGCGGCTGAAGGGACTGGTGGAGCACTGTCAGGGTTCAGGACAGGGGATTTTTGAGGAGTGAGGACATAGGCACTGCGAGGTACCTGTGCGGACATGTGCAGGTGCCCTAGTTGGGGAGCTTGGTGCATTGGTGAAGCTGCTGGAAAAGCTAGAAGTGGCTTTTCAGAGATGCAGGGGGCCTGCAGTGCATTCTTTTAGGTCCCATGGATGCTGGGGTGCCTACACAGAGCACGGGCAGAGCTGGGGGGGAAGTCAGAAGCTGAGGGGGAAAGTCTATGTGGAACTGCTTGGGCTTGGATGAGTTGTCCTGTGCTACACTCCTGACATAGACCCACTACTTCCCTCCTCCAGCTGAGCTGAGGGGACTCTCCCATCCCTGGTTCCTCTTGTTCTGGTTGTCATAGGTTATCTGCCTCTGCCATGAGGTGGCCCTTGAAGTATACGGGCCATCCAGCCCTCCTCTTGCTTCCATGTCTGCTTGCACCCAGGAGCCCAGGAAGCAGAGCTGCTGCCCTTGCTCTGGGCTCACTCTGACCTCATGCACCCGACAGTGGTGGAACTCATGCAAGAGTCAGTGGTGGAACACCCTTCGGTTGTGAACAGCCAGCGCTCCCATCGGGGTCATCCCCATGGCCCCAGGGGTTGTTTGGCATCACCCCATGGTGAGCGGGGACTTGCTGGCCCCTCTTCTTAGCAGCCAGAGCCCACAAAAGACCAGGGTGGCACCACTGCTCCTGGGGCACAGATACTCATTAGGGCAGGGCTACAGAAGGCACATGCTTTTCTCCAAGCAAGTACATTCTTCAGGAGAGGCGTGATGTGTCTGTGCTCCCCAAAAAGCACTCTGTACAGCCTGCTAGGGCAGGAGGCTCCGGGGTTGCCTTTGGCATCTGATTTCTTCTTCCTTGAAGCAGAGCACCTAAAACTCTTTGAGGACTTTGGTGATCGTGGTTGAATTTCTCAATTTCTCCTCCCAGCCGGCTCTCCCCTCTTATTTCAGCTCTGCCAGCCGGGACTACTGAGGAGGGATGGTTCGCAGCTGGTGTCCCAGTGCACATGGGTGCCCTGCTAGGGCAGATCAGAGGCACTGGGGCAGGACAACCACATACCCCATGGGCTGCTGCTGAGGAGAGGAGCTCTCCCCCTTTAGCTGGCAGAAGGATTGGAGCAGGCCACTCTTCACCTTCACTGAGGCTGCTGCCTAGAAGACATTTTCCTGACTTTCCCTGCTTGTGTCGCCCTGAAGTCCAATGCAAGAATTAATCTTTCTTCTCCCTCTCTCTCTGCCTGGCACAGCCAGCTGGAAACCCCTGCAGGTGGGTTTGGCTGTTCCTGGGACACCGGGGCTGGATGCCCCCGGACCTGGTGCCGGGGTGCCAAGCGTGGTGGTGGAGGCACCGTGGGGTTGCATGGAGATGCTCCTTGTCCCTCTTTGCATCTCAGGGCAGGGCTTGGCACAGACACTACCACAGGCACAGCATGGGGGGTAGCTGCAAAACTAGGGGTTGCTGTGCCATCCCCACGGGGATGCTGCTGACTTGGCTCTTCTGCTCTTCTGGCTGTTCCCTTCCACGACCCGCTTGCTGAGTGAGCAGCTCGCTAGGGAAAAGAGGCCCTTTGCAGGGAGGGCTGGTGGCATCGCATCCAGCCTGTGTGCAAGCTTTGCACGGACCCTGCACGGTGCAGCCTCACACCGCTGTACCTTCCTCTGTCCACATTTAACTGTAACTGAGTACCAAATGCAGCTGGAGGCATCCCCGGGTGCCGGGGGGACAACCCCCGGCTGGGGAACCCAGCCTACCAAGCTGTGCCCAATGCCTGCTGCAGCGGGTTTTTGGGGAGAAGCAATGCTGCACAGGGGATTTAGACACAGGGCTGCTCCCAGATGTGTATTTAAATGCCCACACAGGTCCACATGCCTTTTTACCTTCTTTTTCTCTTTCCTTTATAATTTAAAAGTATGACTGGATGGGGCAGATCCAGGATACTGGTGGGATCCTTTGTGAGTCACCCTGTGAAGATTTGGGGGTGGGCTCTGCTGTGCTGCTTGGGGTGCCCCGGGCCTGGCTGCTGAGATGTGTGTTGTGTAAATACCATCCCGAGGGCACCCATGCAGAGGGACCTGGCCCTGCAATGTGGTGGCACCTGTGAAATATGTAAAAAGAAAAGCCAGCAAATGTTATGGACCATAGTGTAACATATAGAAGATATGTACGTTTGGGGGGGGTGTTCTTATTATTGTATTATTATTTTTATTTTTAATAACATGAGTATAATAAGTACCAACCGCCTAATTGTGCATCTTCTTTGCATGCACACGGGGTTTGTATGTGGGCTGTGAAGCCGAGGGGCTTTGCTGAGCGATTTCTCTGTCCCATCACCCACAGCTCAGTGGGTTAGGGCTGTGCTGACCCACAGGGTTTCATGAGTGCGGCAGGATCTTCCCCACAGCTTTGTATCTGGATGTGAGTGGGCTCTGGGCATGCCATGGGGCCAGCTCTGAGCGTCCCCTGGTGCACCAGGGACACATGGCTCATGGCTCATCACAGTCTCTGGGCTTGGCTCTGTGGTGGCCTGCCCATCTGGGCACAATGGGGACAAGCAGACCTCAGAGAGCTCTTCCACTTCACCAAGACTGAGTCACCAACCTCCAGCCAACTTTCTTCCGCTCACTGGCCTCATCAGGCAAGTGAGGGACTCTCCTCGTGCCCCCACCCATCTCCACTTTGCTGGCAGCTCAAGCATCTCGAGTTACTCAAAACCTGCAGAGGCTTTGCAGCCACGGAGGTTAAATAGCTGGAAGAACACTTCCACCTTCCCATCACAACCTTCCAAGAGCTGTAACTGAAAAAAACAGAAACATTAATAATATTTCTTGCTGTTAATGTTATTTAGTTATTGTTTTATACACTCATTAATGGCTTCTGTAATTATTTCATTGCTGTTCATAACACTAACATTTAAACAAAGCCACATTTAAAAGAAAGAGCAATCAAGCCAAATTTCCAGTAGGCTTAACTGCTTTCAAAGCTAATTTAAGAGGGGAAAAAGAGGGATAATTAACAGTCAAGCAAGGAGTTGCCTTCCCGCCCACGTTGATGCAACAGGAGGCTGGCTGGCACAAGCTCTGGCAGGCTGAAGCTGTGCTGGGGCACTTCCATGTCTGCCCCCACCCAGCCCCAGCCACCTCCTTGGTGGTGGGGACCGCTTGTCACCGCAGGGTGCTGCCAGAGCCCAGGGGTGGCACAGAGCAAGGGGACTTGGGTGGCAGCAGGGGAAGTCCTGCAGTCCTGGTGGCCATGGGCAGCAGCCGTAGGCTTTGCAAGGGCGAGAGATGCTGCAGCGCAAACTCGCCTTGCCACAATGAAACATACATTTTCCAAAAAATCTCTTCAAGGGAAAAAATACTAATTCAGCAAAGGCTCTGAAAAGACCAGCACACTCCAGTGTGCTCCCGTTTCCTAGAGCACAGATCTTGCCCGCCCCGTGTGCTCAGACGTGCATTGAGAAACGCCGTGCCGGGATCGGGTGCTCCAGGTGGCAGATGCCTCGTCCCCGTGCAGGAAGGGCCAAAAT